TTAAGTGGATCAAATTCAAGCTCATAAATTTGTTAACTGTCAACTTAGTGTGTACATAGTATATGTTTTTCATTGTGATAACTTTAGTGATATATTAACTCTTACCCAGCTGGAAACTAAAGTGATTTGACTTCCACAAGTGAAGAGCCAGGCAGCCTGCATATACTGTTGACTGACTTTGCCCACAAGTGAAGAGCCAGCTAGGCCACCTTGCATATACTGTTGACCAACTTTACTTACAAGAGAAGAGCCAGACCAGCCTGCACATATTATAACTGTTTACTGATTTTACCCGGAAGTGAAGAGCCAGGCCATCCTGCACATAATGTTGGCTGTTTTAACCTACCTGTGAAAAGTCAGGCCAGCCTTCACATACTGTTGGCTGATTAACCTACCAGTGAAGAGCCAGGCCAGCCTGCACATTAACTGTTGGCTGATTTTACCGCGCCAGTGAGAGCTAGCCAGCCCTGCACATATCTGTTTAAACTGATTTAAACCCACAAGTGAAGACCAGACATAGGCCACACTGCACATACTGTAAACTGATTTTACCCACATTGAAGAGCAAGGCCAGAGCTTGCACATGTTGACTGACTTTACCTACCAGTGTGTTGACTGACTTAACCCACAAGTGAAGAGCCACCTGGCCAGCCTACACATACAGTTGACTGATTTTTCCCACAAGTGAAGAGCCAGGCCAGCCTGCACATACTGTTGGCTGATTTAACCTACCAGTGAAGAGCCAGGCCAGCCTGCACATTAACTGTTGGCTGATTTTACCCGCCAGTGAAGAGCCAGGCCAGCCTGCACATACTGTTAACTGATTTTACCCACAAGTGAAGAGCCAGACCAGCCTGCACATACTGTAAACTGATTTTACCCACATTGAAGAAGCAAGGCCAAGAGCCTTGCACAATGTTTGACTGACTATTAACCTACAGTGTATTGGACTGACTTAAAACCCACAAGTGAAGACAACCTGGCCAGCCCTACACAATACAGTTACTGATTTTTCCCAACAAGTGAAGAAGCCAGGCCATAAGCCTTGCATACTGGTGGATGATTTAAACCTAACAGTCGAAGAACAGGCCCAGCCTGCAACATATACTGTTGCTGAATTTTAACCACCATGTGAACAGCTCAGGAGCAGCCTGCACATGAATTGTTTAACATTTTAACCCGCAAGAGGAGAGCCGCAGCCAAGCCTAGCCACATATACTATTGCTGACTTTGCCACCAATGAATAGCCAGGCCAGCCTGCACATACTGTTAACTGATTTAACCTTCCAGTCAGCCTGCGCATACTGCTGATCTTGAAATCCCAAAAATTGGCAATGACCTGGACACTTTGAAAAACAGAAACTAAGGGACTAAATAATTTAAGAAATATTGCAGATAATATTTAAGGTAAAAGCAGCATGTTGCATTTCTTTGATGACCTTTTTTGTCCTTCAAACAATGGAACAAACCATAAACCCTGCTTAAATGTGAAATAGACCTTTCTTACATAGGAATTTGGAAGAATCCAGTAAATAATTACCGGAAGTTTAAGGGATTTCTGCATGGATACATAGATAAAGTTACTTTTAGTCAACTTTTGTGTTTAAGGTTAGACATCCAGAATGTGCTGGAGTCATTTTGTGGTAGTGACGACAGTGACCAGTATTACAAAAATTATGGTAATTCATAATTTCTAGGTAATTTCAACATCAAATATACAAAATTTGAATCAAGCAAAGTTGGTAATTTCAGATAAATTGAGATGACAATGAATCTGAATATTTTTCACAAGATTCTCAGAATTTTACAGGTGAATATAAATTTTCTTGTATCAATTAGTTTGGAGAACTTTTTGTTGAAAATGTGTCAGAATTAAATTGTATTACCATAAATACACAGTCACAGTGTTTACTGGAGTTCAGGTATTATTAATTGCACTTTCTGTCAAGAATAAAAATAGAGCATGCTCGTTGATTGGCTACATTTTTTTCTGGGGTTTACTTATTATGATGACAAGAAAAGGGATAAATATGGAAAAACTATATTCAGTTGTTGTGAACGACAGGAAAAGTGTTTTTATTTTTGCTTGTATTTTTTTTGCTTATGATACATGTACAAACGAGAAAGAACGCTATGCCCCCTAACGTAAAAATCAGTCTCTTGTTTCGATGCTCTTTCTATTACTTGTAGTCTATGACTTCATCATGAAACATACAGGACATAAAAATAACGAAAGGAGTTTCATTGCAAATGTTGGACATGTTATGCCTTAATAATAAAATTTAATGTTACAAGTAGGTTTTAAAATTTAAAAGTATTTATTAGTTTATCTCTATAATCTACTTATCTTATATGCCTTATTATTGAGTAAGATTTTAAACAAACAGTTGAAAGCTACTTATGATATAAATATTGTGATAAAATATTTTATGTTCTGGTTGGGTTTCACCTGAACAGTCGGTATAAGTCACATGTCAACTTTCCAGTTTTAATTGTGAAGAAAGACCTCCTTTGCGCTTCCATGCATTGTTTCAGACACAAAATTGCACTCAGTGAAACCTATTACAATATCAAGTTTTGAAAATATTTTCACAAAATTCGATTCCAGTTGCTTTATGATATCTGAACAGTAAAGGTGTTCAACGTAGATTTGTATTATATTATATATATTGAAGTTTACAACATGAAAGGGCCATTTACATGGCTGAAAGCTGGAAATTTTAAAAATCCTGAAAATCCTTAATTTAGCAGTTTTTCTATAGTTTTACATAGGGAATAGATTAGGCTTTCAGGAGATTGAGAATCCTGAACTTCAGGAATAATCCTTAAAACTTTCACCCATGCATTTAGTGTGGAGAAGATCATCTTGCCAGAAGTGTGTAGTAATGTGTAGTGAAACAGAGGGTGAAAAAAATATCCATAGTGTATTATTAGTCCCCTACCGGTTTACCGGAGGGGACTTTAGGTTTACCCTCCGTCCGTCTGTCCATCTGTCTGTCAGTCCGTCCACAAAACTGGATCCCGCGATAACTTGAAAAGTACTGAAAATATTTTTATGAAACTTGGTATATGGATAGATGGCAGTATGGAGATTATGCACGTCTTTTTCTTTTCTTCCTATGTTGAAAATTCTGGTTGCTATGGCAAATAGGCTGAAAATATGGCAAATTTTACACATAAACTGGATCCAGTGATAACGCAAAAAGTACTGGAAATATTTTTATGAAACTTTACATATGGGTAGATGGCAGTCTTGAGATTATGCACGTCTTTTTCTTTTCTTCATATGTTGAAAATTCTGGTTGCTATGGCAACAAATAGGCTGAAAATATGGCAAATTTTACACATAAACTGGATCCAGTGATAACGCAAAAAGTACTGGAAATATTTTTATGAAACTTGACATATGGGTAGATGGCAGTCTTGAAATTATGCACGTTTTTTTCTCTTTCTTCCTATGTTGAAAATTCTGGTTGCTATGGCAACACATAGACTGAAAATATGGCAAATTTTACACATAAACTGAATCCAGTGATAACTCAAAAAGTACTGGAAATATTTTTATGAAACTTGACATATGGGTAGATAGCAGTCTTGAGATTATGCATGCCTTATCTGTTCTTCCTATTTTTGAAAAAAATATCAGTTGCCTTGGCAACAAATAGGCTTAAAACATGGCAAATATAACAATATTTGTGATTAGTCAAAAAGAGCTGAACATTTTTTATGAAATTGCATCTTTAATTCAAGAGTTATCTCCTCTTTAAGAATTTTGCTTTTAAAATGGTATATTTTGGTAACAGGGATGTTTCAAATATTAACTTTAGAGTGTCTTTCAGTCCGTCTGTCTGTCTGTTCATAAAAACTGTATCCTGTGATCACTTTTAAAGAACTTTTCCAACAAATTTTCTTAAAATAGAGAAAAATTGAAACATTAGTGAATGGCCAATGGCCCTTCAGAATGTTGATGGGGTTCTAACCGGTAGGGGACTTATGGATTGCTTGCAATACTATGATAATTGCTTGTTTTATATAAATTCTTCTAAAAAGTTGCAATTGTTCTGTTATCGGAAAATCTCACTGAGTGTCATTGAGTTGCATTAAAAAAATGGGAGCGCCCAACTAGAAATGTCACTGAAAATATCACTGATAGGTATAGAAATCTATAACAAATTTAAGATCTAGATAGGTGTTGACTTTAATATCAGTGGTCTCAATAGTTGGGTCAAATTAAGAATAAAGCAAAGAATTTGGACTGGATCAGGTGGTCTTAAAAGTGGATAAGTGGTTGTTTTTAATTCTGGATCATGTAACCATTGTGATTGACATAAAGAACCCTGTAAAAAATAGTCTTATAAAGGGGGTGGTCTTAATTCAGGGGTGGTCTTAAGTAAAGATTCTACTTTACATTGAATGTAATCAATTATATATCAATCAATCACTCTCTTAAAATTATTGTAATTTAATTGATTACATGTAACATGTAAGCCGTCCGGTATTAGCTCAGTAGGTAGGGTGTTGGACTGTGAATCAGGCAATCCAGGTTTAATTCCTGGACAGCACAGGTCACTTTAATTGTGACTGATCATGAAATCCTTTCTAAAGTCATTAACTCATTTACATTTTACCTCTACTCTTACATGTACAGAAGTAATTATGCAGTTCCTTGCGAAAGTGAAGACCACTAGTACTAGTAAACTGCTTGACAGCCTTCTTATGAACTAAGCGGAGCTTGAACTGTGCTCTTGTGAATTCAATACGGTGATCCGGAGTGAAAACTACCAACACATCTAACGTGTTGGACTAGTCATAACAAATTAACAATAACTTGAAAGTTGAATAAACAATTAAGTCAGACAATCTGGTAATTAAGCTAGCATAGGATAAATCAAAATGTCCTATCTAAAATTATAAAATATTTGTTTAATCATATTATTACTGTTACTACTGTGATAATGATACTAAAACTACAGTAAATTAAATAGAATCTAAATGGGCACCTGTCTTCAACTTCATTTTGCAGCCGATCAATTTTATCTTTCACTTTGGCTTTTAGGGCACGATTGTAGCATATCATTTTCTTATCTGATTCGGAACGATTGTGAAAATCTTTATCTGGCGATCTGTCGAAAGGTCGAACATATTCTACTTTTAGAGGAACGTTTGTTGACTTTTTATCAATAATTTTGACATTTTCCTCCATTTTGTTTCGTGTGTAAACAAAGTTGCATTGTGGGTGGAGATAAAGGGAGTAACTCCCGTTATGCAGAAACCCGGAAATAAACTGGTCGCAACGTCCCGTACATTTTTATTTCGTCGATATTCAACTATGATCGAGCATGAGTTATTACCAAGCGATCGGTGACCTCATTTTCAGAAATAGATTGATTCAGAATGAAGCTTTATATTTTCAAAAAGATTACTGTCAGGTTCTTCTTTTTCAGTAAGTAAAAGAAAATATATACTACTACGTACTGTATAATAATAATGATGATGATGATGATGATGATGATGATGATGATGATGATGATGATGATAATGAACTCTTTATCTAACGAAGGTAGCTTATAAAGACAATACATCAAAGCATTAGAGATAACACATGTAATGCAAAATTTTATTTTCAACAAGGCATTCAATTAACATATCAATTGACATATATGTATACATTCATAATTAAAAGTAGGGGCTATATGTTAGCGTTATAAAATAATTGTTTCATATCAGGTGTAAGCAGTTTTTGAATTATTTTCAGCAGCGATATTTATAATTGCGAGTCTACTGTATATAATATAATATGTATGTACGTTAATTTTTAGTCTATATACGGTAATTCGATTTGTATAATCTATATCATGTGCACAAAGAAATGTATAATCAATAGCTAAAGAGACTTTAGCAAACAGGTTTTAAGAGCATTGCCACTGTCGCACAAAGTCATAATAAAATCGACATTTAAAGTTATGGCAACTATATAATATACAGGAAGTAGATATGTATATGTGTGCGTTTACCTACTGTGTTAATGAATGTAATTCTGCGCCAAAAGTCTTTTTTAAATCTCATTTCTAAAAACCAAACATTTGCTGCTTAAGAAATCTCAATATTTAGCTTGTAAATTTTAGTTATCTTTATCCAAAATTTTAGGAATAGATCAATTAACCATAAAAGCCATTATTTTGTATGACTTTGTAACTGGGTATAGAACGTTTCCACGTGTACGATATCATTTTTTAGAGTCACTAATTTGACTTGTTTACGTATACATGCTTATCATGAATATTATTTTTGATTCGTAAATCGACTTCTCAGACGAACCTCTAAGGTACATTTTATACATATTCAAAAATCTTCATCAGAGATAATCGTTTGTATATATATTTTTTTTTTGGTTATCTGCCCCCACCCACATTTTTGACTGCAAATCATTTGTCCCTCACAGCTGTGGGTACAAATGTGCAAAATGTGTAGCATGTGGTGAAAAAAACCCCAACAACTTGAAGAGCCAGATGTCCATATCGTTATCAAAAATAAATGTATATGAATCGAAGTAGAAATCGACAATGAAACTGAAATAATTAATCAGAATACCTTGTTCAATGCCTTATCCAAAACGAATAAAGGTTACACATTTTAAACTCTTCAATGTACCGCATTTTTGTTATAAACTCAAGTATTCGAAAAAAAACTAAGGCAATGCCTGTAAACAAATAAACAATACTGTAATTTTCTACCGTTTTGGCTGAATAATGGAATTTCAAATTCATTGTCCGTGTGCGTCAACTATTAAACAAAAAGAACCAAAAAGCCGTTTTGTTTTACTGTTTGCTTTATTGTTTATACTCGATAAAATTTCTTTCATAAATGAATTGATATTGATCGACCAAATGAGAGTTAAGTGAAACGTTTTTTTTTCCTTCGGCAAACTAAAATGCAATTATTATTAAGCCGTCGTGTTGATAAACGAAAATCAGTCATTTAGGTGTTGTCTTTATGTAATGAAACTCTTTCAGTGACTTTATAGGATGAAAAAAATCTGCGTGTCTTTATATATAGGATGAAAGCAGCGTTCCCTCACAAAATATAGGTTAAACGATAATATCATGCATTCGCCACCCGCTTCGTCAGAGATTTTCAAACATCATTATTGCTTAGGAATATGTTAGAAATTTTGCAAAAATCCCCTGTTAACCCGGTTCCACTCGCGTGGAGTATCGGGGATTCCATTCATTACATACACGTACAGGTCTCTCGAATCTTTAATTGCCCAATCTGCGTGAACAATTTTTATTGCAAATCACTGCTAACTGCGCCCTCATGACTTCTGCCAGTTGGAAATACAAACCACGCAATTTTGGCCCAAAATTTAATACAATTATACATGTAATTGTATTCGCCCGAAACTGCGGGGACAGATGGGAAGAATAAAAATTTGGAGTTTTTTTCTCTCGCTATTCCCACCATACACTTCATGGTGCATTACCTGTATATACATGTATATCTACTACAATATATAGTAAAAATATTATACTCAAATTTTACAACTAAAATTAATAAAATGGTTCTCGTAATATCAATACAAGTATAAGAATATATTTGCGGAAAGTGACCAAATTATAGCTTAATCAAAGCGGCGTAACCAACCAGGATGTATCTATATATCTACTGTAATATCAACAATTTGGTGTTTAAAAGAGACACACTTGATGATCTTTACGTTTTCTAATGTTATCCACTTAAGCAATCTAACAGGAACTGAAATACAGTTTTTTTATCATACATAAACATTTTTATGCTCCCCGAAAAATTTCGGGGGAGCATATAGTCGTCGCCTTGTCCGTCTGTCCGTCCGTCCGCCTGTCCGTCTGTCCGTCCGTTGTCTTGTCCGCAACATAACTTGAAAACCCTTGGAGATAATTTGTTGAAACTTCATACAGTGGTAGAGGGCATTGAGGGAGGGGGGGGGGTGCAGTGTCAAAGAACCATAACTCTATTTTGCCCGGTTTTTGAATTATCTCCCCTTATAGAAAAATCTTGTCCGGGGCATAACTCTAAAACTATAAGAGATATCAACATGAAACTTTGTAGGTGAATAGATCTCAATGGGGTAGATGTGCAGTGCATAAGAACAATAACTTTGTCCTAATTTTGGAGTTATTGCCCTTTGTTAATTTTAACACTTTGAACTTTGTCCGGAACATAACTCTAAAAACTAAAGAGATATCAAGATGAAACATTGTAGGTAGATAGATCTCATTGAGTAAAGGTGCAATGCAAAAAAGAACCATACCTCTGTTAAGCCTCATTTTGAATTATCTCCCCTTTTAGAAAAATCTTGTCCAGGACATACCTGTAAAAACTATAAGAGATATCAACATGAAACTTTGTATGTAGATATATCTCAATGAGTAGATGTGCAATGCACAAGAATCATAACCCTGCCTTGCCTAATTCTGGAGTTATTTGCCCTTCTGTTTTTTTTACTTTTTGAAGTTGTCCGGACATAACTCGGAAATCATAAGAGAGATATCATCAAGAAACTTTGTGAGGTTGAAAAGATCACATTGATTAGAAGTGCAGTGCAAAAGAACAGTAACTCTGCCTTGTTTAATTTGGAATTATTGCACTTTGAAATTTTTCCAGGGACATAACTGTGAAACTACAAGAGGTGTACTTTCCTGTGTCCAAAACCTATTCGGAAGCATCACCCGGCCCAAACCGGGCTCTTGTTTAAGTTTATTTTCAAATTGTATAGGTTTTGTTTTCATCTTGTGTTTTAACTTATGAAAAAACATAAGATCAGTTGTGAATACGACCCCTGTTCAACGTTTCTCGATTTTAAACTTTGAAAATAAAAACAGTTTAGTACAAAGTATTCTATAAAGAAAATAAACTTAAAAAAAAAACCTTCTTCTCGAAAAAATCAATAAACAGAGCTTGATATAAATTTGGTACGTAGCAAAACCATGTTGCTCTCTACAAAAGTTACATAAATCAAGAAGACTTGTATACTATTAGGAAAACATATTTAATTCTTATCGTAAGAAACTGCAATGCTCAAGGTGTGAAGCAATGCCTAATTGGTCTCTATAAGAGTTATATAAATCCTGTATCTTGGGTTAAAAGATGGCCAAACATAAGCGGTATATAGTGTGCATACGCACACATAAACAAGCTTTGAAAGTCTATTCTACAGCAACATAAAGAATAGTATAATTGTTTTAAATATTGTGTAGATATTTCCATACAAACACCCGTCCCAACTCCGACATTCTACTTTTCTTCGGAAAATTGGTATAAACAAATCGGGGAAATATTTTAAAACAAACAATAGGTTTTACATAGATAACACCATGATACAGACAGGCATTCGTATATTTGTATTAGACTATATTTATATGTATTTCTGCTTTAAAACATGTACGTACATACCAAAGGAGTAAGAAAGAAAACTTAGCGAACAAAACATAATATATATTTTATTGTTTATTTTCGTTCATTTTGTTACTTTAGCAAATATAAGATAATTGCAAATTGACAATGATAACATTTGTCTAAATGTTCAATAATCGTCTATGATTACAGCGGCTATGTCACTAAATCACAATTTCATTTATTAATAACAGCGTACAGGTGAACAGAGACAATATATCACTATTCTGTAGAATTATAATGTTACAGAGCCTCTTAGTTTTTGAAAGGCGCCTTTGTTGACAGTTCATCACAGGCCCCGTTGTGTGCTAGCTCAACACTGTCAAAAATGAAACAAAACTTGGTATGTAATTCAAAACCTGGTGGTCTCTTTAAGACTTGAAATAATGCTTCATTTGTAGTCTTACTGTAATGTTTCCTGCTAAGAAAATTCTAACATAAGCCAATATCATAGCAAATTGGTTATTTCCGGAACTTACTTTCAAAATCTTTTGCATTAGATTATTTACAATCACTCACCCCTTACCGCTATGTACTAAATTCCGATCTAAAACGATTAGAATTTATTAAATACTGAATATTGTGAAAAATAACTGTCCGATTTTTCACGATATTGGCCAATGTTAGAAATTTTTGGCGGGATCAATACCTTAAGTAATATGTTACAGCATAAATACGCCTTCTTTACTTATGTACAATTATATATGACACAGTTTGAAGTATAATTTTTGTTTATTTACCGAATTTACAGAATATAAGAGAGAGTCTGAAATACGCGTTCTTGTCTGAATTCACAAT